CGGCGTCGGCGCAGAGCGAACGGAGCACGAGTGCCTCTGCGAGCAACGCTGCAACGGACGAGGATCCGTTTCTGAAGCAGACCTGCATGCTTATAGAGACGGCGAACAGGAATAGGACGCTGCAGGTTGGGCTGTCGTTGGCATCGGTGCAGCGCGATCATGCGATGAGGCCAAATGGCGCGAGTGGTGGCCAAAACAGTGGAGAAACAGGAAAAACGCCGGGCCATTTCAAGGGTGTGGTGGCAAATGGGAGAATCATCCTGATCTGGGTGGCGGTGGTGGGACGATTGCCCTCACAACTCCTCAGCGCATTGTGCTGCTTGTTTTGGGTGGTGTGGTCTGCAGCGAGAGGCGCTCGGTCCATGAGATATCCAAAAGGTATGGCCGTGAGGTGGTCATTGTGGAAACCTCGATGCCGCGTCCTGAGGTGTGTTTGTCCAGGGAATTGGCACCCTACGGCAGTAGGACTTAGGGGCGAGACACGCACAGGAACGCATCGAGGGCCAAAGAGTGGAAATATGCAACTACACACGATTGCGGGTGTCTGTGGGAATTGTGTGCACTTCTTCCTGCATTCAGTTCCTCTCCAAGAAGTGTTTTATATGATGCGCGTGTGTGTGTTTCAACGGCCGCGCTGCTTGCCTTTTGCTTTTGTATTCTTGCCTGCCTGTGCGGTTGCGGACCATTTCCATGCAACGAAGAGGATAAAAAAGGAAGGACATTTGTGGAGCATGCACCCACGGCTTCAGTGTTCATCCGCTGATGCTGACCTTTCTTGCCGGGGCATTTGTGCGCGCTTTTCCCTCCAATGTCTATTTTTTTTTACGCAGGAATCAACAGGTGGGCATTCGTGAGTGCCGCGGCGGACTGTTGTTGCCCTCGCCGGGACGCGCTTAACGGCGGCAGCTCCATGACTTTGTGCTAAAAGGAATGGGATTTTCTTCGGATTCTCACCGCAGGCGCATGCCGTGGACGGCCGAAAAGGAGTGTGTGCCCGGTGTTGTTCATGGCTCCAAGGAAAAGATGGTGTTGGATGTTGCACAACGAGTGGATGTGGAATGTGTCGACCGTGTGCATCGCAGGTGTATCCGCTGGAGGCATTGCGGGCGGCCGTGGCCAAATGCGAGTACAATACATGCAGAGGAAAGAACATTTTTAATTGGCTTCTCAGGCGTAATCAAATGTACTCAGGCAATGCTTTACCGCGAGGAATGGCAGGAGGGGACGCACGACGAGAACGCCACCAGCACCGCCATTCATTTCCTTTGCCACGGCAGTAACGCAGCCTCATGAGACTACACGTCTTGCGGATTTTCCGAGGTGGCACGCGCTGTTCTGTTTGGCGCCACTGTTCCCCCATTCCCGAGCGTCAGTGCAGACGTCCCTGTCGATGCAAGTTCCTATCGATTGCGGGCACACCCATTGATTGATGCGGCCGACACCGCAGCCCATTGCTGGTGCTTCTGGCATGACTGCTGCACCGCCCCCAGCAGCTGGTGCAGTGGGACTGGGGACGAGAACACAGCAGAACAATTTCAGTCAGATGGTGCTGGCAGCCCTGTCAGCGTCCCGCCTACCCCAGCGACCCACCCACACCACCAGCGAGCACAGAAATCGACGGGACAGGGAAGGCATTGACGGAGTGTCACGGCACCAGTTGTCCTCCCACATCATTTGCAGCCAAACAACCGGAAGAATTAACGACGACATCATTCACCAACAATGAAAAAGGAACAACGACCACTGCCGACAGCGACAGCAGCACCGCGGTCTTTCACACCAACTTCCATCTTTTGTATCTTCTTGTCACTTATGCGGCTCCTGCTGCGATGGTGGCGTCCAGTCCTGCATGAAGTCGTGTGCGCTGAATATGAACGACGGCCAAAGAAAATTGAATTGTTTTTGTGATGAATATTGGCTGCGCTTCTCGTGGACCAACAATCCACGTGGTGTGCGGGGATCATTCCTTTTTAATTGTTACTTTGCTTTTTTGTTGCTGTGTGCGCTGCACCTCCTCTTGTGTGTGTGCGTACCCTCCGTGAGGGGTGCCGACACGACGGACCGCTCTCGCCGTATGTACATGCGGTGCAGCCTTGTGTGCCGCTCCTGTTTGCTTCTCCCTCTTCCATCTGTGTGTTGTTCTCGCTGCATGACTGTGTGTGTGTGTGTGTGCCTGCTGCCGTGGATTGGAGTGTGTGTCGTGCGTGGTGTGCGGCGTACGGTGCATGCCTGGCTGCTGCCCTCTCCTCATGTGTGTTTGTTCTCTGTGTGTGTGTCTGCCGCACCTCTCGTCTCCCCTGTTGCTCTCCATGTCCCTCACTGTGCAGATCAGCTCCACACCACCGAACGACCACACTCACGATGATGACGTGCCGTCTGCTGTACGCCCTGTTGGTGCTCGCCCTGTGCTGCTGCCCGTCCGTGTGCGTGACAGCGAATGCTAATGGTAAAAAAGAATCCAGTTCCACAACAACAACCACGACGACAAAGCCGCCAACTACGACTACAACCACGACGACTACAACCACGACGACGACGACTACAACTACGACAGAGGCACCAACTATTACGACGACAGAGGCACCAACTACGACGACCACCCGCGAACCGTCAAGTATTCGCAAAATTGACGGCAGTCTCAGCAGCTCTGCGTGGGCGTGTGCCCCGCTTGTGCTTGCCGTATCCGCGCTGGCGTACACCACTCTGGGCTGAGAAGGTGTGCGTGGGCTGTGCGTGCCAGCACTCAAAGCCACTGGGACATGTGTACGTCTCTTGTGGTCCGATGTATAAAGTAAGAGTAATTGTGATGATCGTTTTTTGCTTTGTTTGCTTCCGCTGCCCTGCTGTGTGCTCCGCGTTGCTTCCCACCTCCGTCACGTTGCAAGCATCGCGGGCACACCCATATTCATGCGTACTGAAGCTTTGGGCGTTTTTTTCCTTTTAAAAAGTCTTTTCTTTCTTTATTATTGCAACCTTTTTTTTTTCAGGGCGTTGTGCTTTTTTTGTTCTTGTGCTGGTTCCGTCTGCGTCGTGGTGTGTGTGCGCTGCTGCTTCTGCTGGGCTGCTGCCGTTTGTTATTGTGCGTTGGCTGTGTGTGGTGTAGCGGCCGCTTTTTTCTTTGTTCTCTCCCATGCTCTTGCAGGTTGACTTCACAGTGTCGGGCAACTCCACCGTTCGTGATGATGCTGGCCGTGTGTGCTGCGGCCTGTTGACGCTCGCGCTGATGTGCTGCTGCTCGCGTGTTTGTGCGACGGAGTATTTGGTGCTGGTGTAGGCATCGTGGGGATGTGGCGTTCCAACGTGACGCTGCTGTGTTGCTGGCGGACGTGCATGTGGCCGGTGCGTTTGGAGGCTTATGGCGATGCGTACCCATCTGGGGAGGAGGATGTTTGCTGGTGCGACGGCATTTGATGCTGGCATGATGGAGGGTGCGCTGTTTCCACTTGGTTTCCTTTCCTGTTGGTCGTTGGTGCCGGCTTCTCTCCGCCACCGTTCACTCGTTGTGTATGCGTTGGAGGCTGTTTTGTGGGGCACACCCGCTTTTTGCGTTGCTGTCACACCAGCAGCGTCGCAGCAGCGGCTTTTTGTGGAGCTCTTCTGTGTTTCTTTTGTGGGCTCGTTGTGTGGCCCCTGCCCGTGGTGGATTGTGGGGGGCAAGTGGTGCCGTTGGCGGCCGAGGGAAGGAGAGGACGGCGAAGGCAATGAACAAACGCCTATTCTTTTTTTGTCACTCGCGGCGTGGTTGTTGGTCCGTTGTTTGCTTCTTGCTGCTTTGTGCGAGCAGAACAAAATAAAATAAATATTTGTGCGGCGTGTCGATCTCTTTGCCGCACGGTACCACCGGTGCGAGGCTCGAGGCGGGATTCTGCGTACGGGAGGAAAAATGCCTTGAATTTTAGCCACCGTGCAATCTGCGGCCCTTCGACTGTGAGGGCAGCGTCGTGCTGAGGTAAGACGGGAATGGCATCCCCATTGGGGCGGGACTGAGGAAAGAGCAGCTGTTGGTGAGGCGCCCGGCGTAGATGCAAGGCTTCGGGGGGACCACGATGAGTCGCTGGGAGCACTTTCTGCTGGTCGATCCGGATTTTGAGAGTGACGCCGTGATCCTTGGCAGGACACAAGAAGTGTTTGGGGGAATGTCACGAAGCTGAGGGAAGTCATGAGTAACTGCACCAAGTGGGAGTGCACCGACAACTTCTGCTACTACGGCACCATTGCGCTGAGGGCTCTCATGGCGTGGGTGCTGATGGGGTGCGTGCAGCAGCACACGAACCGAAGCTGCTCACGGGGCACCACGACGACTTTTTGGAGGTAATGGAGGAGGCGGCGAGCTTACCTGGGGAGAACCTTAATCGCGACATGCGGAAAACGCGGGGCGAGCCGCAGTCACAACGGCCCGATTCCCCACCGGTCGTGGGGGCCGCTCGATGTGAGGAGCGCCGCCTGCTTGATGCTGAGGCAACGCGGATGGCGGTGCCACTTGCGTTCACTGTGATTAAAAGAAACGGCAATGGCAAGAGCCATTTGCCCGGCAGTGGTGTCCCCGACAGCACATAGCGGAGCCAGTGACCAACACACCCGATGGACATTACGCACGCGCAGCCGTACCCGACTACCCTGCAGGAACAGGAGGCACAACACGAGATGCGGCGCCGGCAGAGGAGGCTGCAGCGGGTTGCAGAGCACCTTACAGTGCCTTTTGCACTCTTTGGAGGTAGCTATGCGTGGCTGGCGGTGACAGGGTTCTCGTGACGCCTCTGCAGCAAGAGGACCGTTCTCCTCTCTTTTGCGCTCCAAGCCATAAAAGTGTCGAGACACCGCGCGCGGCACGCCGTATTCTTTGGCCACAGAGTGGAAACCACATCCAGTTTGTGAGAGAGATGCTGGAGCGCAAGTAGCAGAGGGAATTACAACATGTGCACCCCGAGCGAAGCAGCCTTCTTGTTAATTGTTTATTCACATATTGTCTTTGGCCTCTTTTTGCTGCTAGTGACGCAGGGATGCCACCCACACGTTCGAATTTGCTTAAGCCACGAAGCCTAGCCTTTTTCTACAGATTCATTGGTGAGTGTAGTTCTTTTTTTCCCTTATGCTTCTCTTTTTCTTGCTCCTCTTCTGTTGCTGTTATTCTTCCTCAGGACGCCTACGGTGCAAGAACAGCAACCGGGCCGATAATATGGGTATTCCCCATTGAAGACGATGAGGAAGAGGCGGCGAGTAGTGGTGGGGGTTCTGCTGGGCGCCGTGAGGCTGGAGATCACGGCGAGCTTCAGGAGGAGATCATGCGTGGCGCCCCACTCCTCGTTGAGTTCCGACGCCTCATTCTCCAGGATGTGATGGACCGCCTTGGGGAGGCAAAAGGCGAGCGGTCAATAGCAATTGGCGAAATCATTGCCTCACTGAAAGAAGAAATGCGGAGGGAGATGTGCCAAAACCGTAATGGCGCGGCTGGTGAGCGGGTGGGACCTGACAGCTGCTGCAGCGGCGAGGCGGTACGCCGAATGAAGGGACTTCACCGAAATGACGTGCAGCGTGGCGTGGTGGTCGCGACGCCGCAGGAAAGAGCGGATCGTCCCACGGTGGCGCAGAAGGCCGAGGTGGTGCATGTGCAAGAGCTGGAGAAGCTAATTTTGGAACGCGCAGCCGGTTTGTAGGAGCGCATGACGATGAGCGGGACAGAGCGCACGGAGTCTTGCCGCATTCTGCGCTCCCTGGTGGATCTGCAACTGCATGGCGAAGATGTACACAACAGCGGCAGACATCGTGACAGAGAAACTGTCAACAAAGGCTACGGTAAAGGCGCCACTTGGACAGCAGGAATAGCGCCTGACACTTTGTTGCTTGAAGCGGCCATCGGGCCCCAGCGTGCGCAGGAGTGCGGATTTTTGGCTGTTGGGTAACCCCGCGCACTTGGAAGCACAGGGCAAGGGACCGACATGACGACTTCCCAGCGTCGGCGAGACAACGGGACCAGCAACAATCTTTGCATGGCGTGGCGGAAACAACCGCGGACCCGGGGTAGGGTGGGGACAAGCGTTTGGCCTGACGGTTAATGGGGAGGTGCATGCGAAATAAGTGACAAGCGGGCCGAATTGTGGCGTTGTGGAGAGACTCTTGCCGCTGCCCTACCGGCGTGGGCGTTGACAGTAAGCACTGCTTCGCGCCCCTTTGAGCCCTTGTTTCCATTTCTTGTACAACTTTGAGCCTTTGTGGAGCTCCGGCATATTTCCTGTTTTTTTTTTTTTTTTGCCTTTTCTTGCTTTATTCTTTGTGGCTTTGGCCTGCAATTTTTTATTTTTGCCTTTCGTTGATATTTTCTTTGCACTGTTTTGGGGGAACCCCCTCGCGTATTGCAGCCAATCTTGTTTATACCGGGGAGTAAGCTTTTTGCGCTGATTCTTCTGTTGCTGTGCGGCCTCGCAACACGCCGCTGGCCAGGTTGATGCGCATGTTGCCAAGCTCACCATTGGGACCACCGCTGAGTAGTTGTTGTTTACGGCAGCTGCCGATTCCGTTGTGCGCGACACACTGGCCACCAACCACCTCCGCTGGAACGGCAATTCCGTGTGGTGGTAGAAAATCTTTTCGTGCAGATGCATGCTGAGACCGTTTCTCTGGGAAACGCATTTTTGGTGCGTCGTGCCCTTGAGGGCTGAGTGGGAAATGATGCTTCCGCTATGCTGGAGGCCCTGACAGCAGCTGTCTCATCAGCTGCAGGGGCGCCTTTTCCGTTTCCTCTGAGGGTTACAGGTGCTCGCCCCGGTACCGTGCCGCAGCAATGATATCTCGGAGTTCCTCCCAGTGCGCGCGTCTGCATGCGACGGCCTGACGTTCATACTTGTGGATGATTTGTGCGCAATTGCGAGCAATGTGTTCTGCACCTCTGTCCATACCCAGTGCTGTTTTTATACTTCGACGCGAGCGATCTCTTTAAACCAGGTAATGATGAGCATTAGCAGTCTTCCGAATACCCTTGAGCCGACCCCTCGATTAACGGATCAGGCGCGCCGCTCTGCTCTGCATGGCGGTTGCATTCAGCTTTAACTGGATGGTCAACTTGCACAGCTTTACGTATTTAACGAAAATATTGCGTAATAAAAGGGTGGCAATATTGTACCTGCTCACGGTGTCGATGCTGCGCTATAGATGCTGTTTTTTATTGCCGTTATCCCCATAGTGTGTCTCCCGTCCGGTTATCTTTGGTGCATGGGCCGCCATCAGGCGAAGGTGGAGCGGAGGGCCGCCATTGAGGATGGAATGCGGACTCAGGGCATGGCGGAACCTCACGGAGCGACGGGTGGTCGGCTTCGCGCACAGCACCTCATGGCCTGCAATAGCGGACACCCTCAAGATAATGCCACGAGCCCGACGCGGCCACGTGAGCAGCAAGAAGGAATGCATGGGGGATGCGGTCAGTTCGCCGCGGCGGAGAACTTTGGTTATCCGCAGGAGCACGCTGCCGTCCAGCAGCAAGACGGAGAGGAGCCGTACGAGGGGTGTTACCATCCGGCGTGCCATGGAGGGACGTGCATCGCAGTTGGCGACGAGTACGTGGGGTCCATTCTCGTAGGGGCTGGGAATGAAGAGGTGAAGCAGGTTGATGAAAATCCGAGCCATGGCGGCCTCGCTGCTCACTCTTGAAGGGAACTTCAGGGGAGTAGAGAAGGAGGGGCGGAATGGATTTGGTGGAGGAACGGCGTCGTTTCTGGACTGCGCTTGCATCCGAGATGCACCGCATGTTGCGTTGAGTCCACTCCCCGTGTTGCTTTGCTGAACGATGGTCACAGGAGGGATGTATGGCGGTGCGCTACCTGGCCCCTTCCATTAATCTGCCGGCTTATCGATGCCGCCTGTCATGTCTTGTTCTTTGCTGTTCCTTTCCCTTCTCCGTTCCTCTGGTGTTTGTTGCGCTCACTCTGCGCGTCACAGGGCACACAACTGTACGAGAAGAAAACAAGAGCAACAAAACAAAAAAAAGTGATTGGAACAAAACTATGCTTGAGGCCACAGCAATGCCAGACTGCAATCCGAGAGCAGCAATGCAACAGCGGCAACGCTGCAAGATGCTGTGGCCACCGCGTGCGAGCACAGTAATTGCCACCTGAACCCCGCCCACCCGGCGCGCGCGCTGTTCAGTGATGAGGATGTTCTCCCCTTGCGTGTGCTGAAGGAAGTTGGATTGGGAACCGTGATGGACGCCCTAATGGCCTGCGTGGAGACAATTCCTACACAAAGCCCTGCGCCGAATTGAATTGTGTATTAAACACCGCGGAGCAGGGGCGGGTTGCGTTTGGCGACACCCTTTTGGCCCTCTAGTGCCTTCTCTTCGCGCCCTACGGGAGCAAATACACCGGCTCCGCTATGAAGACGGCTGCTGACGGCAGTAAGACCGTTGGGAAGTCCCTGGCGGAGCTTCGCAAATGGAAGAAAATTGCCCCAGAGTTCTAGGATCCGAACTACGATGCATTTTTCGTGCACGCGACCGGCCTTTTTCGGCAGGCGGAGGACGGTAGACTGGAAACGGCCGTTCTGCGTACCGACGAGATATTACGTACCATTCACGTTCCGTCGCGGCGAACGAAAAGCAACCCGGTTTGGATTAGTGAGGCAGTTGTTGTCAAGGCGTTTACCGTGGAGGGCATTGCGGTGCCAATTGTCCGGGCGACGTGTCGGACACCCTTGCCTCATTACGCAGCTTTTTTCTGGACCTCGGTGCTCTCGTTGCCGGCGTAAGGTAACGTGGCGAGTTTTGGGAGCATCTGAAGAGTGCTTTGAAAAAATTGCAGGGGAGTCCCAAGTTCATCATTTTCATTGATGAGATGCGCGTTTTCCCCGGGGCTGGAAGGTCGGAGGGTGCAATGGCCGCGGCAAAGCTTCTGGAGCCCCCGCGGGCACGCTGTGACCTGCGCACGATTGCTGCCAGGTTCTTTGAGGAGTACCGCGAAAACGTGGAGAGGGACGCGGCGCTTGAGCGGCGCTTCATGCCGGTGTACGTGACGGAGTTAGGTGTGGACGGGAGCACCAACATTTTCCGTGGTCTAGGGGAGCGCTACGAGACGCACCGCGGAGCTCAGATGACGGAAAATGTAGTGGGTGTTGCTGGTCGCTTGGACGATCGCCACGCTGCGAGCCGATTCGTGCCTGACAAAGCCATTGACCCAATTGACGAGGCATGTGCAGACGTGCGTGTGCAGCTCTCGTCGCGTCAAGAGGAGATGGATCAGCTAGAGCGCACGAAGCGGCAGTTGGGGATTGAGGCAAAGGCGGTTGGGCGAGACAAAAAAAAAGAAGTTGTTGCAGGAGCGGCTGAAGATTGTCAAGGGGGATATGCAGCGTGTGGAAAAGCCTCTCCTGGCTCAGTGCAATGGGGTGCGTCAGTGAGTTGATGAGCTGCACGAAATGCGAACGTGTCTTGATTAAAATAGGACGGGGCTGGAAGAGGGCTGAGCGAATGCGGGAAATGGAGCAGCACGCTGTCGCCCGCACACAGTGGCGCTGCTCGACGAGGCGGAGAGGCGCACCCATCTGTGACCATTGCGTTGCTGCAAGTGGTGGACGCCTGCCGGCTTGCGGACTCGCATGGAAGGACCGTTTATTTCAGCAATGCCGTTGTCATCGTGACGTCAAAAATTAGGTCTGAGCAATTTGTCCACGTGAGGAACCCTCCAAAGGAGTGAGAAGTGATGCGTGAGAAGGTCTGGCAGGTGGTGCGCAGCTACTTCCGCCGGGAGTTTGTTAACTGCCTTGACGACGTTGTGATCTTCCGCAAGCTGGGGTTTGGGGAGCACCACGACACCGTCGATCTTATTTTTGCGGAGATGAGCAGGCGGCGGAAAAATCTTTTCTTTGGAGAATGCCTTTGACGTCGAAATGGGTGCCCGCCCGCTGCGCTGTTGTGCTGAGAAATAGATCGCCACCGAGGTGGGCCGCATGATTCTTGCGCAGCTGCTTCTGCCGAATAGCGTCGTGAGGGTGTTGGTGAGCAGCAGCCATGGCAAGCTTGCCTTCAGCGTGAAGCGCTCTTCAGTGGCGTATTGGCGTTGGGGCTCCAAATTCACGAGGAGTGGTGCGGGTGGGGGATGGACGCAATACTTTTTATTTTTTTTTTATTTTGTTTATTGTTAATTCCTCCGCTTTCTCACCCTCATCGTTGCCATGATCGCTGGGCACACCACTGCGGTAAGGGGAACGGCTTGTGTTACAGCATTATTGTTTTGCCACCCCCATCGTTTTATATATTGTTTTCTTTATTATTATTACAGACGCAGGATAAACAGGCACGGGGAAAACGGATACGCGAGGAGTAATTTCTTGTGTGGCTTTTGCCTGGCGTGGTATGCCTGAATCATTTCTTTTTTTTTTTTTCTCATGGCCTATTTTCTCTTCTCCCTTTGTGTATTTTTGTGTGTTTCTGCCTTCATTGCATCTTTTTTGTTATTTGGGATGTTTGGCGCCAGTACGCGTGATTTCTGCTATACATGCTGCCGGAGAGTGACGATTTCACACGTACCGCGTGGCATCCGCAGAGCTGGATGCATGACTTGCGCTCGCAAATTGGCGAAATGGCCATAACACAGGTGTGTTTTGTGGGCTCTCACAACGCGGCATCGTACGGCATTCACAAGGGTTCACCATTTGCTAAGGATGCGCCGGGGGTTTTGTACGAGAATTCCTTTCGTGGTTCACTGGCACGCCTTTTTTCTTACAGGATCAGTGCATCTTGGGCAAAGTGTCAAGGGATGTCTGTACGCGCGCAGCTGGACCACGGTGTGCGCTATCTGGACCTGCGCGTTGCAACAAACCCAAAGGACGCCAGCCGACTGTACATATCACACGCACAAATCTCTGTGCCGCTGGCTGTTGTGCTTGAAGATGTGAAGGCGTTTCTCAATGACCCCCTCTCTGCGAATGAATTTATTGTGCTTGATTTTCACCACCTATTTCTCACGGATGACAGTGACGGGCAGGGTAAGTTTTTCAGGGAGTTGGACCGCCTCTCAGATCGCTTCATACCCGTCGATGTGCCGCTCACAACGCCGTTGGCAGTGTTGTGGAGGACCTCGCGTGAGAAACGCATTTTTCTTGTGGTGGCCGCAAGAAGGAATATGATGCCATATCCTGCGGCACGGATTCGCTCTAAATGTATGGTATCTCGATGGGTAAATAAGTGTTCTTTAAGGGAGCTGCTGCAGGCTCTTACGAATTTGCTACTGGACGATCTTAATCATGCTCCAAGTGGTTCGTCTTCGAGACTGTACGTTACACAGGCTGTTTATACAGTATGCAGCTGTGACATTTTTCGTGGTATTTTCCCAAAGATATCAAGTAAGGCTGTCTCGAGTATTTATGACGTGGCAAAAAGGATAAACCCCTCTCTGCTTGAGTGGTTTTATTCACTGAATGCACGTGGGCTCTTGGATGGTGCCAAGGTGAAGATTCCACCAGGGATAAACACACACGGAAACATACTTATGCTGGACTACGTGGAACTGGGCCGCTGCCGGATAATGGACGGCGCGAGGGAGACAAATGCCGTTGGCATGTGTGTATATCTCAACATCCTACGTGCGTCACGCCCACGGGCGAGCTCCCCGGCAGCGCCTGCTTTGAACGAAGAGTAGCTGCAATGACAAAGCGAGCCGAAAAGCCGTGAAAAGATTGGGAGGGTCTTCTCCCACCCTCTTCATACGATCGCTTTTTTGCTTTTCCAAATATTATTGGGCTTTTTTTTTTGCTTTGTTTTGTTTTTTCTTTTTATTTGATGCCGCTTACTTCTCGCTGTCCATCCATTTTATTTGCTTTGCTGGCGTTCCGCAAGCTTACGGGAGACGTTGCTGAAATTTCCCATTCTTTCTTGTTGATTTATACGACGTACCCATGTAGAAGGAAGGCGCTGCAGAGATGAGCCATTCTCACGAGCAGCAGCCACTACCGCCCAGTAGCATGCGTGCATTTGTGGCCTGCTCCGCATTTGAGTTTGGCGGGGATCGTGGGCCTGGGGGCATCGGTGGCGGCATTGTCGCTTTTAAATATCCACGGAAGGGCCTGCGTGGTTGCTGTGCGAGACCGTTTGAGCGTGCGGTGGTGCGCCTCACGCGGGAGTCCCTGTCGGTCTACCGACCCACTGAACCCGGACTTCATGCTGAGTTGAGCTGGCGGAACGTGCGGGAGAGACGCCGCCACGTGTCCAGGAAGGGAGACCGGGTATCGTACGACTTTGCCTTCTTTACGCATTCTGACATTCTTCTTCTTGAGGTCGAGGACGCCTTGACGGCGGACGGGATCACCGCTGTGCTGCAGCTCCTGAATGTGGCGGACGCGTCCTTTGCGTCTCCGGTGCAGGACGCGGTGCAGTGGCTCGTGCAAAACCGGCCGTTGCCGGTGTCCTCTGTAGGATGCCGTTCCCCGCCGGCCCCGACGACGCGTGTGCCCGTGATTCAGCGGGACGATCCGAGGGGCGAGGCGCTGCGGCGTATTCGGATGCGTGAGGAGGAAATGCGTGAGGCCATTTTTTACGTGCCGCCCCGTCGATCGTACGCAACTTCGCTCGGAACTGAGAGGCGGCTGAAAACTCGCTCGCCGCCTCGCGGATCGTCGTCTCCT